GGAAGGCAGCAACTCGCTCACACTGTTTACAGTGGGGATGGGGAGCTGCTGACGTCAACTGAGGCTATAGTCGGACGGTGGAAGGAATACTTTGAGGAGCTCCTCAATCCCACCAATGCGCATTCCGAGGAGGAACCAGAGCTGGGAGGCCTGGGGATGGACTGTCCAATCTCGGGGGCAGAAGTTGCTGAGGTAGTCAAACAACTACACAGCGGCGGAGCCCCGGGGGCGGATGAGGTTCGTCCTGGGTATCTCAAGGCTATGGATGTTGTAGGGCTGTCATGGTTGACACGTCTCTACAACATTGCGTGGTCATCGGGGGCAGTTCCTAGGGAGTGGCAGACCGGGGTGGTGGTCCCCATCTTTAAGAAGGGTGACCTGAGGGTGTGTTCCAACTATAGGGGGATCACACTCCTCAGCCTCCCTGGAAAGGTCTACTCCAAGGTACTGGAGAGGAGGGTCCGATCGATAGTTGAATCTCAGATAGAGGAGGAGCAATGTGGTTTTCGTCCTGGCCGTGGAACTGTGGACCAGCTCTATACCCTTGCAAGGGTGATGGAGGGGGCATGGGAGTTTGCCCAACCAATCCACATGTGCTTTGTGGATTTGGAGAAGGCTTATGACCGTGTCCCCAGGGGCACCCTGTGGGGGACGCTCCAGGAGTATGGGGTGGGTGGCTTTCTGTTAAGGGCCATTCAGTCCCTTTACCAGAGGAGCGTGAGTTTTGTCCGCATAGCCGGTAGTAAGTCGAACCTGTTCCCAGTGAGGGTTGGACTCCGCCAGGGCTGCCCTTTGTCACCGGTTCTGTTCATCACTTTTATGGACAGAATTTCTAGACGCAGCCGTCGTGTGGAGTGTGTCGAGTTTGGTGGCAGGAGAATCTCGTCTCTGCTTTTTGCGGATGATGTGGTCCTCCTAGCTTCATCCAGCTCTGACCTTCAGCTCTTGCTGGGTAGGTTCGCGGCCGAATGTGAAGTGGCTGGGATGAGGATCAGCACCTCCAAATCTGAGACCATGGTTCTCGACCGGAAAAGGGTGGCTTGCCACCTCCGGGTCGGGGGAGAGGTCCTACCTCAAGTGGAGGAGTTTAAGTATCTCGGGGTCTTGTTCACGAGTGAGGGTAGGAGGGATCGGGAGATCGACAGGCGGATTGGTTCGGCGTCTGCAGTGATGCGGACGCTGAGCCGATCTGTCGTGGGGAAGAGGGAGCTGAGCCAGAAAGCCAGGCTCTCGATTTACCGGTCGATCTACGTCCCAATCCTCACCTATGGTCATGAGCTTTGGGTAATGACCGAAAGACGAGATCGCGGATAAAAGCGGCCGAAATGAGTTTCCTCCGTAGGGTGGCCGGGCTCAGCCTTAGAGATAGGGTGAGGAGCTCGGACATTCGGGAGGAACTCGGAGTAGAACCGCTGCTCCTCCGGATCGAAAGGAGCCAGTTGAGGTGGTTTGGGCATCTGGTCAGGATGCCTCCTGGACGCCTCCCCGGGGAGGTGTTTCGGGCATGTCCTGCCGGCAGAAGGCCCCCGGGTCGACCCAGGACACGTTGGAGAGGTTACATCTCCAATCTGGTCCGGGAACGCCTTGGGGTCCTGCCGGAGGACCTGGTGGACAAGGCCGGGGAGAGGATGGCCTGGAGCTCCCTAGTTGGGATGCTGCCCCCGCGACCCGGACCCGGATAAGCGGAGGAAGACGACGACGACGAAGTTTACAAAAATAAATGGTCTTAAAAACTGCTAAAAAAAAGATACCAAGGTTCAAACTTTTTTAAGAATAGATGCATTACAGTTCAAAGTTCAAATTGTTTGCCCAGTAATTTTGAAGTTCCTGTTCAGTAATAAATGTAAAAAATTCAAATCCGTTTTTTGCTTTTTTCACTTTTAAGCTGAGTTTTTAAAGGTTTTAATAGAAATAAATTCTAAATACAAACCATACACTAAAAGCTGAAATTGTTCTGAAAAAAGGAGAAGAGTTACACACACTTTGCACTTTTTATTACTATTTTACAGCCATAAGATTAAAAAAATACCAGACAGCCCTGTTATAATTATGGTCATAAGAGGGTTATTAAGACGGCGATGCACAAACAGGAAGTTATTGGTAGTCATTCCACTCCAATCCAGTTGGTGGCGGTAATGCACCAAATTGTTGTTTGCCAAGTGCCATAAGACCACAAATAAGAAGAAGAAGAGAGGTGGGAGTGTTCGTAACAAACTCAAAGCGATAGTCAAAACATTAAGCATGAAATGGAGTTATCCTAGTGGCTCCAATAAGAGAAAGAAGCTGCATGCTTCATAAACGCTTTTATTTTCACGTCTGTAAGTGACGTCGTTTTTCGATGTAAACATCAAAAGGAAGCAGAAAGGAAAGACGATGGAAAATGTTTAAAGGGAGGAAAACATAGACCAAAATGGAAAATAGAAAAAAAATAACTAAGGCTAAAGCACAGGAGCACTGACAGGAAAAAGAAAGCAGAGCAAATATTGAAAGCGCTCAATGGGAGGGAAATACAGGAAAAAAGAGGAGGACTAATAAAAAGGGAAAAGAACTTGTGTCAAAAGAGGGGAGAGTTTCGCAAATCCAGTTAAAGGTAAGATTGTCGAACATTTAGTGTAAGGGGGCCCCATGTCTGTGTTCGCCTTGGGCCCCCAAATAGCTAAATCCGCCTCTGGTAGTAGCATCAGAAGTGATCAGAAGCAGGGACCTGAAAAGGCTCAACAGCCTAATAAAAAAAGCTGGTTCTGTTCTGGGGACGACTGTGGAACCACTGGAGGAGATAATGCAAAGAAGGATTCTCCAGAGAATCAAGAAAATTATGGACAACCCTGAGCATTCTCTTCACAAGACTGTCCGACAACGGAAGAGTGTCTTCAGTCAGAGGCTTCTTCAGTTTTGCTGCAACACTGACCGCTACTGGAGATCCTTCCTTCCAACAGCCATTGTAATATACAAGTGGCGGTTCTACATGGAATTACTCCCTGGGCGAGGCCCCCTTTGAGCCCCCCCCCCCCCCCACCTGCACGCACACACGCATGTTTTCTACAAACAGGCATGTTTTATTAGAACAACCATTGAACACTCGTTTTTCTAAGTTGCACATATTTACATTTAAGAGCAAGTCACTCCAAATCAACATTTTTTTCCTGATAAACTTTATAAATGAGTGTCTGATCGTGCTGCAGACACGTGTAGTCAATAATTCGGCACTTTAGCGCATCACAATGAAAAGTGAATAAACATATGAATAATCATTATAACAAGCATAGGTTATGAACACATTAGGCTTAGATGAGTAAAATTCAAGTAAAATTCAAGTAAATGTCATTTAAAACTGGGTGATATAAATCACGTTTTAACGAGAACATTTCTCATGATTACGAGATACTGGTCCTGAGTTTTTTTCCCACACTGACAGTAAAACGCTTCCGTACATTTGAATATTCGTTTCAGTATTTCAGCCCTATTAGCTCTGTTAGCCATTAGTTGACCAAATTTAACCGTTAAAATCCCAGTTAACTGGTTCAAAAAATTGAAAACATGCATCATGAGAGCGTACATACCTTTATCTTTCTCCTCTTTTTTCTTTTTTCTTTTCCTGAATCGGGCACCTGGTGGTTTTAGCCTTTTTATGTTCATCTCTTCTGTTTGGCTCTTGACTCAATAAGTTTCCTTTAGTCAGGACTAAACAATTTGACCTTGATGGGGGGGTGACCACAAAATCGTTTTGTTTTTCATTTTTTTATTCGGCCATTTCACACAATTAAGAAAAACCTGAAAGAATGATAGGCCTGTGTTTATGATATTATGAATGAAATGTGCGTTAAATGGAAGAACATCAAGATGTGATTGACTTTAGCCATGTTAATACAGTCGATTCAGCCCCTACCCGCCCATTTCATTTGGAAAGACCCAGAGGTGAATTCCCCCGCCGCACCCCTCCCCTTCCTCTTCTTCATACACACACAGTGCACGTGAACGTTCTCAGTCAGCAGGAGCGCCTGCAGCTGTAGGGGGCGCCAACTTGCTGTTTCCAATCCAGACTGTGATATGACAGATAATAGAAAACCTCAGTGAGGCTAAGATTTCTTTCTTTTTTATTTATTTTTTTTACTCAGCGCTTGTACGCCCCTTTTGTGTCATGAAAAAATGCCGCCCTGGGCAACTGCCCTGTCTGCCCGTGCCTAAAACCGCTACATTATTATTATTCTGAGCTACTACAGCAATCAATTTCCCTCTGGGATTAATAAAGTATTTTGAATTTGAATTGAATTTGAATGTGCCTCTAATTATAATTTAAAAGCTTTGAAAACTTGATTATAACTCTAAAAAATATAAGTCTTGAATATAAAAGATATGCGCGTGCGTGTGACGTGCATAAAATCTTTCGGTCGTTTCATCAAATAAAATTTGTCACGCGCCACCAGGAAATAATTGTGTATTCAGATATTTATATGTCGATGATTCAGACTCACGTTCCCGGTGTTGTGCCAAAGTAGTTACCCCCGTCAAAAATTGTTTCCCCCATTCACGGGAGCAATACAATACTGTAAAACCAGACGTGATCATGGAAACACGTCGCTCTCCGGTGAATTTACACTCGGTTTACACTTTGTTTTTGTTGGCGTTGCTATCACGAAATAGTTTATTTGCAAAATAAGTCACAGTATAAGTACAGTATGATTTTTTTCTTCACAGCAAACGTTATGGAGGGATACAGATTTTATCAGGCTGTGTGGCCTCGGCTGCCAAAATGTGTGCCCCCCCCCCCCCATCAATAATGCACATTGGCGTGGCAATCACGAAAAACTTTATTTGCAAAATAAGTCACAGTATAACTAATAACTACAGAAACTTTGGAGAACATTTTCTTTTTTTAGACTTCTTAATTTAACGTTTAATGTTCTCCAAAGTTTCTGTAGTTATTAGTTATACTGTGACTTATTTTGCAAATAAACTATTTCGTGATAGCAACTTCAACAAAAACAAAGTGTAAGTGGTGTAAACCGGGGGAAACAATTTTGACGGGGGTAACTACTTTGGCACAACACCTGCACGGGAGGAGGAGAAATCAGCACCGCAAAGAGAAAACGTTCAGCACAGTGAGTTTATAAGTTTTAAAAAAGCTTTATTTGTGGTTTTTAAGCTTTTTTTATGACTTTCAGCTTGCTGCGAGTTGCTTTGTGGAGCGTTTCCGGTGAATCCGCAGCCGTTAGTGTTTCGTTTGTTTTGGATTTGTAGCGGAAGATGTGCTCTGCTCTCTCCGTTTCCTTTCTAGTACTGCCACGACCTCTAAATAAACTTCTGCTTTCTCACTACTTTTGTGTTTTCTCCACTCTTTTCCTCCGTGAAGGGTTCTTGGTGAAGATGAGCAACTCAAACCAACCCAAACTGGAACTTTTTGTGAAGGTAAGCTAGCGACAGAGAGGGAACCTTCACAACCAGAAAAGTGACGCGGGGGCGGCGACATGTCTCCATCTGCTCCTTCTGCTTTCTGACCACATTATTTCACCTTCAATGTCACATTTAAATGAGAATAGTCGTCTTCAGTATTAGATTCATGACCATTGCTGACTCACGGGGCTTACAGACCACTGTAATCTAATTAACTGCACATTAAGATACTTTCTATATTTAGTTTATTGGTCAGGCAGTTTAATCCCCTTTTCTACGTGTCGTAGTGGATAAAAGCTTCAAATTTCACATGATTATTTCTTTCTATGAGCACGTGCGCTTCCCTCTTCTTTTAACTGTTCATGCATGAAAAATGCTGTTGTAACTTCTCTGAATCTTAGGTTTCAAAATTCAGCCCAAGTGTTCAAACATACTGGGAAAACATTTACCCCAGTGCAATTTATATGATCATTGATGTGTAAAAACAAAAAAGAAAACCAGGAAGAATGTAAGAATTTTAAGAAAATTAATCTGTTTGAAGCATTTCCTGTTTCGATTTAGTTCTGTAGCTCTCCTTTATGCTCGCTGCTGTTGCTGACTGTAAAGATGCTTACTGGTCGGAAGCTTCCTGACTTTGCAGCAGTGAAAATTTTAAATTATCAGGTTTATTTTTTTCAGTCCTTTTAGTTTTTTTGGAGCACACAAAAGACTAGAGGTGCTGAAAAAAATCGATTCAAGTCTGAATCAGGATTCTTATTTATAAAGATTCAGATTCGATTCGCAAAGGTTCAGAATCGATCCCAAGAACTCAAATATTGGGCATGTTACAGGTTTGAGATGTACGTTTGTCTGTTTTTTTATCTTTGTTAGGAGAGTTAGTACTCCGTTTACTTTTGTGGTCCCATAAATTGAGCTGATTTATTTTTGAATCTGCTGATAAGCTGGCACTTGAATGTAATTTTTTCCATACTCATTAATTTGAGATACTCTCATATTCATTTTCCAAGTTGATAAGTGAGTACTCAGGATTACTCATGTATTTATTTTAAGTTATTGATAAATGAGAGAACACATTTTCCTTTGTAAGAAATCTGAGGTATTTTTTTAAACCGGTTGAGGACTGAAATGTTAAACTTGTTTCCACACATACTTGAAAAGTATTTGACTGTATTACTTTCAAAGCTACTGTTAGGTAACTATAATTTGTTATATTTTACAAGGTAAGCAAAAATAAATGTTGCCTTTTGGTAGGGCTGTAGCGAAGCCTCGACGAAGTCGACGGCTCGATTCTAAAAATTTGTCGACGTCAGATCCGGTAGTCGACGCACCGCGCCCACTTGTTGCATCCCCAGGAGTTTGTAAATAGAGGAGGAATCTGCCTGTTCTTCCTCTAGTTCGCCCTCTTCTCCGCCTTCACTAACATCTCCGCCAAATACCGAAGACCCGGAACAACGTCCGTCCACTACTAGATTATTTTCCTGTTTTGCCCCTTCGTCTCCCGGCAACGGACAACAACTTCCGGGGTCAGATGTGCTGCTTCGTGTCTATCGCAGATGTAGAAAATCACCGGGAGCGCTTCTCCCTTCATAAAGGAGCTTCTTTCAGACATGAGGAGAGCTGTTTTGGTGGTAGCAGTCTCTCCTCCGTGCTGGTCTGCTTGCTGCTGGGTGTTTTTGGTTTATTTAAACTTGGTAACTTGAACTTAATGTTGGTAAAGCTACTGTTAGCATATTCGCTAACAGCTTCTTGCGTTGGGATAAGCTGTTACGTTTTGGTTTAGAGTTCATATTTTTTGTGGTGTAGATCTCCCTTTTATTACATTTAGAGTGTTGTGGGTTTTCGGTTTAGTGTAAAATATCACCTGAGTTTGGTTTAACCCGTAAGACCACTCGCCTCACGCACATAAGTGACCAAAACAAAGCAGCATGGAGACACTCCATCTTCTACCACCTCTCAGGCAGCAGCCTGCACTCCCAAGTTCTACACGTCATCAGAACATAAACAACCGCAACACAATAAACGCAGTGTTATACAAAATGGAAGGCCTGTAGTGTTTATTCTCTTACAGTAAGAATTTATCAATTTTTTTGAGGAATTTATTTGAGATTTTCTGGTTTTTGTTAATTGTGCAATAGAAAAATAATCATTAGATTAATTTTCTAAATAGTCATTAGAATAGTCGACTATTCGATAAAATAATCGTCAGAATAATCGTTTTAAAAATAATCGTTTACCCCCAGCCCTACCTTTTGGTCAAAAGATTGTTTCTGTTTACAGTTTTAGAATCACTTTAGTTTACCTTGTAAATTTGCATTTCTTGAGCATGACCAGTTTAAAGTAAAATGAAAATGTCCCATAGCTTTAACTAACTTGTACAACAAAGTAGTTAATCCTAGAACTGACACTCTTTAACATTGATTGTGAATTGATTTAAATCGAGAATCGATTCTGAATCGAATCGACTCCCAGAGAATCGGAATCGAATATAATCGTGAGTTGCTCTAAGATTCACATCCCTACAAAAGACAAAATACAAAATGACATGAAAAATTAGTTGAAACTTCCACATTTTGTCCCTGTCAATCATTTGCCTGTTTGACTGCAAAAGAAAATGGCCTGTATTTGATATAGCGCCTTCTAGAGTCCTGGAACCCCCCAAGGTGCTTTACAACACAATCAGTCATTCAGCCATTCACACACACACATTCACACCCTGATGGTGATGAGCTACATTGTAGCCACAGCTGCCCTGGGGCACGCTGACAGAGGCGAGTCTACCGTACACTGGCGACCACCACCAGCAGGCAAGGTGCAGCAATAGACTGAGCGGGGCTCTAACCTGCAACCTTTCGATTACGTGGCGAACACTTAACTCCTGTGCCACCGTCGCCCCAAAAGTATGAACTTATTGGTTGGATTATGCAGAATTGGATGCTTTCATACACTAGTTATGATTTATTTGTGTTCATTAAAGAAACAGACACATGCAGGTGTTTCTAAATCGTTCCCTGCTGTTGGCTTAAAGAACAAAAACTTAGACTTCCATGAACCAATGTTCAGAGAAACATAATAGAAACTCGTTTTTAAAAACTTTTTTTTTTACACATACATAAATTATTTTGGCTTTTAGAGTAATTTTTGTGAGGAATTTATTTGTTTTTTTTTATTTTTTTATTTTATTGTTTTGCTAAACCAAGTGACATCAGGTGAGGGAGTCCTGTTAGCTTAATCCGGAGAAAAATATGGATTCTAATGCTGGCACAGAGGAAACTTTAAATTATAGTTATTTTTATGACGGGCCAAAACCATAAAGTTATGAGTTTGCTGCACACCCCAGAGAGCAGAGACAAACCAGACGGAGAAACGATCGGCCAAAGCAGAGAGATTGTGCTGCGATGTGAGGAGAAGCAGCAGGGGAGCAGCATGTGTCTTGTCAGTTAATGATGCTAGCTTAACCCTCCCACTGTCCTAATGGGTGTGACCCCGCGAGGAAAGTTGACCATTGGGCAGGGTTGATGGTTTATCCCTTGAAGTCCATGTGGCAGGGGTGAGGAGTGGGCACCACATCGCCCCTGCCATGTGGGCTGCATGGTGGCGCAGTTGTTAGCACTGTTGCCTCGCAGCAAGAAGGTTGTAGGTTCGAAACTCGTCTGTGGCCTTTCTGCGTGGAGTTGCATGTTCTCCCCATGCATGCGTGGGTTTCCTCCGGGTACTCCAGTTTCCCGTACAGATCACAGCATGCCCTACAAGTTAAATAAATTGTACTTCGCTTTGGATAAAAGCGCCTGCCAAATAAATAAATATAAACATAAACATGGACCTCAAGGGATAAACCATCAGTCCTGCTCAATGGTCGACTTTCCTCGCGGGGACACCCATAAAAGACAGTGGGAGGGTTAAACTTGTGTGCTAACATCACAATATTGTACAGATTACTATCATGTACCAGACAATTAAAATAGTACCAGTCAGGTAATATAATGTAAATACTTGACAAAAATAAACTAATGAACGTCTGTCGGCTGTCTCATACTCGTTAATATCTGTTCACCTAACGTAGTTTAGTGCTTAGAGAGAGGGAGAGATGCCTGTGATCCGGTTCTGGAGCTCATGCAGGCTTCTGTGAGCTGGATCCGACCCAGACACCAGCGAGCCAGTCGAGATGGTATTTTTAAAAGCTGCGCTTGATCCTCTCCTGGAGGTCTGCGGCGGTTCTGATCTGGTTCTGACCCAGAAACTTTCAATTCAAGTTTATTTATATAGCACCAAATCACGACAAGCGTCGTCTCAAGGCACTTCACATAATAAACATTCCAATACAGGTCAACTCGTTAAGCCAATCAGAAAAAAGTTTCCTATATAAGGAACCCAGCAAATTGCATCAAGTCACTGACTAGTTTCAGTGACTTTACAGCAATCCTCATACTAAGCAAGCATGCAGCGACAGTGGAGAGGAAGACTCCTTTTAACAGGAAGAAATCTCCAGAGGATCCTGGCTCAGTATAAGCAGCCATCCTCCACGACTCACTGGGGATCGAGAAGACAGCACACACACACACACCACACCAAGTAATGTTTCTATGGTTACATTGTGATTTCTTAGTAAATATTCTAATTGATGAGAGATAAACTTTATTGCATTTATCCTAGTGAATCCATAATTAAACGGGTAAACTAGTAGTAGCACATTCAATGTCAAGGAAAGTAAAGTTTTATTATCAGGAGAGGGAGATTGTTTAAGTCAGTGGTCCCCAAATGGCGGGCCACGTCCGGCCCGCAAGCCCTCTCTTTGTGGCCCCCAAACCCTGCGCGCATCCCCCCACCCCCACCCCCGACGGCCGACCAGGAGGTGTAGGATAGAGCTGAGGAATATAATCAAATAATCAATGCATGAGATGTGGGCATAAACGATTCTGCATCATAGAAGAGTGCCATAATCAATTATAGTGGAATGTAGTTTTGTTATTTTAACGGCGGCACCAGCGCAGCATCCACATCTGTCAGAGCGGGTGTTC